AAGAATGACAAATGAATTAACGATATATTTGGATCGGGTGCCACGAGCCGGCAGGATATATTTGGATCGAGTGCCACGAGCCGGCACAATATTATTGGATTGGGTGTCACGTTCGATTGGGTGTCACGTTCTGATACGATATTATTAGAGCGGATGTCACATTCCGGGACAATAACATTAAAGGAAACATATTGATTTAACTTATTGTACTCAATCTCAAAGAACCCATTTTCCAAATGAGTATGGTGTGGAGGCATGAGTCCTCGTGTGTGTGTTTGATATTGCGACTGATTACGACTTGCTTCAGTGCTGTTGTCACTTGTTCATGTTATTCATTGCTTGCCACCTGCTAAGTACTATAGTTGATTTCATGTTATTACTTTATGCATATTAGTTTCTATTTTGAGTCGGCCGATGATATCTACTTAGTACATGTTACCCAATACTAATCCCTACTTGTATTTTCCTTTGTTTTCCTTTTGTGGAGTGCAGTGAGTATACCAGCGACTTGGACTCGCCCTCAACTCTAGCCAAATCTCCAGCACATCAGATTCTAGGGTGAGCTATTCATTCTAGCTCGTGTTGGATTCTCTCGGTCATTGCATGATGTCCTTAGTTTTCGGACACAAACTACTTTATTTATTTATTTTGGTGTCTTTGATGCTCCTAGACTTGGTATTTCGGGATTAGATGTCCTTGATGTGATGACTTTCAGGTTTTGGGAAACAATATTTAATAAACTTTAGTGGATTTGTGTTTCTTACATTAATAAGATTTAAGCTTCAACATTATGGTTAGTATTTCGTAAGTTGAACAATTAATATAAGTTTTGGTTGAATTCATTGGTTCACCCACCTAGGAGGTTAAGTGTGGGTGCCACTCATGACTCGTTTGGATCGTGACAAACTTGGTATCTAAGATTTAAGTTCAGTGATCTCATCACACAATGACAGGTCTAGTAGAGTCTTGCGCAACGGTACGGGGACACCTTTACTTTTCTTCAAGAGGCTATAAGACTTGAGGAAAATCTAGGCCTTCTTTCTTTCATGCGATTACTTGAATCCAATTGGTATCTAGGTGATATAAATTGGTATCTGACCTCCTTGACTCTATTTCACATATAGTCGGATCTGGATCAACAGAAGTGGCAACACCAACACTAACAAGAGAGGATACGCCCTTGGAAATAAGCATGTTTTCCCGATTCACCGTGGGCATGTAATGACTAGTGACCAACATGATCTTCTTATTAAGTTCGTAAAGTTGAAACCCCCATTCCTCATGGGTACTGAATATCAAGATGCTTATGATTTCCCTCTTGATTATCATGAGTTGCTTCATAAAATGAATATACTGGAGAGGTTTGGTGTTGAGTTTGTGACATACCAGTTTCAGGGAGACACCAAAATGTGGTAACGGTCTCATGTTGAGTTTGTGACATACTTTTCAGGGATGCAGCCCACATGAAGTCTAAAACATAAGAAAAGACATAAATGAAACATAAGAGGTTTTTCCTCGAAGCTATGAGGACTCAACAATCTTCAATCTTCTTGCACTTAGGAACCTAGCCTCCAAGCAACTCAATCTCCCAACACCCAGTCAATTTCAGAGTTTCGGGTCAATATCTCATCCAAGTCGCTTAGTTGGACGACATCAATAATTCTAGTTATCTCTTCAATGAATTGAAGTATTTTTGCATCTTTCTCTGATCATATTTTAAAGTAAAAAAAATACATTTTTTAAATTTTAATCTTCTTGCGATACAAACAGTGAATGGTTGAGTTGTTTTGATTTTGTTGCATGTTAGATGCTTGGAATACAAAATAATTTGAAATTCATGTTCTATAAATTAGACATTGAATATAATATATTTTTGGAATACATAACAGATAAGAAATACATTTCTTGTCTTGAAATATATATATATATATATTTTGAAATACAAATTTTGATTGTTACTATGATTGTAAATTTGTATGTTTTGATTACTGGAATACAAATATTGTTGGAATCTTAAGAAAGAATATACGTTTTTGAAAAATATACAAACCAATGTTGTATCCTTTCTAAATGAACATGAGTTTATATAAGTATATGGATACAAATATAGTTCTTAAATAACTACAAATCCATATAGTATATCTATTAAAATGAATACAAACTAATAAAGAAATATGAATGTCATTATACAAACCCAAACATGAAATCATAATGAATACAAATTCACATATCATACTTATTGGAATGAATACAATCAATTACTTTTGAAACTATAACTGATGAGAATTTTAATTTTTAAGTAATATGTTCCTTTTCTAAATATATTCTCCCCCATAATTTTCTCCTTTCTGTTATTAAATAATTGTATTCTTTCAAATCAAACAAGTAAAAAAAAATACATAAATCTAAAATATTTAAATTTTTAATAAATATTGAAAATGTTGATAAGAGGTCCCATTAAATGCTAAAATATTGACATTTCGAAAAATTTATCATTAGTTAATGAGCTTCTTAATCTTAACAAAATGAAATAATTAACTTAATTATAAACTAATTAACTCAAAATATAAACTATTAATTAACCAAATATTTAAATAAAACCAAAGTCTTTTTAGACGATTTCCGAACATTCATAAAATGTTCTAATTATATAGAACATATATATTATTTAAAAATTATAAAAATGATAAAAATTACTTTAAAATAACTTGAAAAATATTTTGAACTTTATAAAGTCAATTATTTCAAATTGTTTGGAATTTAAGAAGTTCCACGATTAATTATAGGACAAAGGGTCAAAAATACCCCTCAACTTTGGTTTATTGTTTGACTTTACCTTCGCCGTTAAAATGAAGTTAATTTAACCCCTCTCGTTACTAATTTCACCAAATTTACCCTTCATTAGACGGAATCCCCAAAATTGACCCGAATTTAAAAAAAAAACCATATTCCCTATTTTAACCCAATGACCCGACCCTATTTAGAATAACCCGGTTAACCCTATTTTACCCATTCTCCCAAATTTCCTTTACCCATTTCTGTAGTCTGCTTGACCATACATACATTTCAAACTACATTCCAAATTCTGCAGTTAATAAAGGGTTTTGAGAATTTCTTAAAGTTTGATTTATGATCAAGGAGGAAAAGGGGAATTTTGTTGTTTAGGGTTCTTGAGTTTGGTCTTTTTTCTCTTGCTCTGCCGATTTCTTGGAAATTTGGATTTGTCTTGGTATTTGAGAGAAAGGAGAATTATGGAGTTGCTGTGGTTTATCAAGAACCAGCAGTGAAGTGTAGGTAAGGTAGTTTTGTATGTTTACTGGTTTTCCTTTTCTTCTGGATTTTGATTTTTCACTTGTTTCTTGAATGCCAAAATATGTAATCAATTAGGTGCTTTTGTTCTCATTCTCAGTTTTTTCAGTAATGGTTAAGGGGTTTCTATGTTATGGATGGGGTCACTATCTTTTTGTTGTGTAGGGTTGGTTGCTGCTCAGCATAATCTTTTCAATATCTTTTTTGACAGGCAGTGTTAGAGGAAGCTGCTATTGAGCTTTGATGGCTCAAAGAAAAATGGCTTACCAGAGAAAGGGATCTGATCTGCAGCCACAGAGGCGTATTCTGCGGACGCAGACTGCTGGTAATTTAGGGGAGTCAATGATGGACAGTGAAGTAGTGCCATCATCTTTAAGTGAAATTGCACCTATTCTTCGTGTTGCCAATGAGGTCGAGTCCAGCAACCCCAGGGTAGCTTATCTATGTAAGTGTTATCTGTCAACTTTTGGTGGTGAAGAACATGAACATAGATTTTTGCTCATATTTGTTTGTCATGTATATTTGTCAAATTTTTTGTTCTTAAAATATGTTAGAATGTGGAATGTAGTTTGAAATGTATGTATGGCCAAGCAAGACTACAGAAATGGGTAAAGGAAATTTGGGAGAATGGGTAAAATAGGGTTAACCGGGTTATTCTAAATGGGGTCGGGTCATTGGGTTAAAATAGGGAATAGGGTTTTTTTTTAAAAATTCGGGTCAATTTGGGTCAATTTTGGGGATTCCGTCTAATGAAGGGTAAATTTGGTGAAATTAGTAATGGGAGGGGTAAAATTAACTTCATTTTAACAGTGAGGGTAAAGTCAAACAATAAACTAAAGTTGAGGGGTATTTTTGACCCTTTGCCCTTAATTATATTGTGGAGGGTCAAAATTACACTACAACAAATTCGATTATCAGGGACAAATGATTTCATCACTTGTAACTCATATTTTGTCACAAAAGATCTTTTGTGGGCAAAAAATATTCGTCAATCAGTCACAAAACATGGGTCTCTAAAGGTGTACAGAGATGATTTGATTCGTCGCTAAAAAAGTTATATTAACTACAAAAATAAAAAAAATCATCCCCAAATGAGTCGCATTTGTGACGAATTTGTTTGTCATAAAAGCTGACTTTTTTTGTAGTTGATAGTATGATTTTGTCACTAAAAAGGTTATTAACAGCGACAAAACTACAGTCACTAATTATATAGTTCACTCAGTAACGACACGAATTGTCTCTAAAGTTATATGTATTTTGTAGTTAAAGAAATATTATTTCGTCACTAATGACTGTTTTTATATACAAAAAAGTATTTCATCCTTAAATGTATAAATTAGTGTCAAATTTATTATATTATAAAAAAAAAACTAACAATTTTGTAGTTAAATCTATCATTTTGTCACCAAAAGTTTTGTTTTTATCACAATATAGAATTGTCACTATAAATTGTTATGATTAGTGACAAATATTTTTGTTACTAAATGTAGTCAACTTTTGATAAACTAATTTATTTTGTAATAAAAATATTTGTCTATAAAAGTTTAATTTAGTTGTTGCTAAAAGTTAGTCGTATGAAGATAATTTTGTCACTAATTACAAATATTTATTTATTTCATATTGATATTTTTTTAAATTAGAATTGCATAAATTAAGAATAAATTAATAAAACATGTCATCTAATAATAAAATATTCATGATCATACAATTAAGAACAATGACATGCTACAGGGAATGAAGTAGGAAGTTCAACCTAGCTTAAGTCATTACAATGACATGCTTCTCTTGTATTGCAAGTGTCCTGCAGTAAGTTCAAACTAGTATTTTTCTTTTCTAAGCAATTTAAAGACAAGTTGTCATCTAATCAGCTGGAGATCTTCGGAGCTTTATTTTTTGGTAAGTTCACAAATCAACCTCTTGATTCCTGTTTCCGATCAACATCATCCGTCGAGACATTTTCAGAAAGCTGAAAAATGGAATATTACCAAACTATCAAATAAAGTTTCAATAGGACATGAATAACCATTTAACACAAGAAATAATAGCAGCACTCTAGCAGAAGTTGATCACATATGTCACTGTCAAAATGGTTTACTAGCAACACTAAAATTGTTAAATCTCCAAAAAATTAACCAAAATCATGCCATCATTCACCAATAATGCATCAGTTTAAAATCAAAGTTTTTAAACAAATAGTTCAAACTTCAGGATACTCATTCCTAGTCCTATCAGACAAGATTTACCAAATAAACTATACATACAAGTCACTCAGCTCCAACAGTCAAATCTGAAAAAAATGGACTAAGAGAAAGATATTGCAATAGGGAAATCACTAATATGTCTTCAATTTTTAACTACGAAACATGAAACCTAATGAAGTAATGATTCACAGAGATGAGAGAGACGCAATATGTTAACAGACGATAACTCAAGAAAAGAGGCATTTAGTAGCCACATAGTGCAACACCCTACATATCTTTGCATTAGATCACAAGTAGAGAATGACACAACAAACAAAGTAGAGTAGAAGAATAACAAAGTTATAGATGATGAGAAGAGACAATCACAATGAATCATCATATATCGTAGGCTCACCCCACCCCCAGACTTTTATTTAATTTGTTACCGAACTTCATTACTCCTGTCCTAATTTAATATCAAGAAGTATGCCAAAATGCAGGCATGTAAGTTCTTAGAGTTAAAGTTGCATGACGTGGGTTCAGATTCACCAACCCTAAATTACACCTCATCAACAGTTAAATTAAACCTATGTAGTATCAACCAAAATTGCAGAGTACCAAAAATCTATATCTCATTCACTTCCGTAACTTTATATGAAGCCGTGTTAGCTAGTTTGGTGTACAAGTTACCCATAAGTCAATTTCTCTATCCTCCATATAATATTACCATTTCATCCTCTTCCCCTCAAATCGTAATATACTCAAAGCCAGGTTTCATTTCTCTTTCTCACTGACTCCACTGTTTTAGGTCAGAAAAATAATATTTTTCTTTGCCTCACAATAAATGAGTCATATAAATAGTGTATACCTAGTTGAAAGTGTACCAAACAAGGTTTTGCACAACTAATGTATGCATTTATTTTTCTAATGCATCCTACCAAACGACACCTTAGAGTTAGCGCATGAGGTAAGGATCATCCAAACCCATATAAGACAAAAAACAGTCTATTATTGTCACACGATTCTGATTATTCAAAAAAACTTCAAACTCGGAACAAAAATTGTGATGGTGGCAACATCAACCTGGAGATGTTTCACCAAGTCCAACCTTGAAACTGTTCATGAATAAGAGCAACAATTGCCCCTGATCTCCATGAAGAAAAGGAGGTCACTCATGAAGGAATAAAAAAACAATGGAAGCACATAATACCTGATTGTCGGAAACTAATGAGACTTGTCCATAAACCTGATCAATCTCGCATCCGCCTGTACTAGAACACATTGAAACGAAATGCCCGGAAACTAAATAAATATTCAAAAATTTCTACAGTAAGCAGAGAAATTATACACAAGCATATGTTTTAACCAACTTGTACCAAATTTTCAACAAAATTGACACTAACCAAAGGAAATATATACTAAATTGTAGCTTCGCATCTGCAACGTTACAGGAAACGCGAGGATGGAGATGTTCAAAGTGACAACACTTCCTTTCGTGTGTCATAAACCTTTCAATGAGAATAAAAAACAATGAACTCATAAGATTAATCACATATATAGCAAGGCAGAGATTCAGCTGAAAGTATGGACTAATGGTGGACAAGAAAATCAACAGAATCAATTCAATCAAAGTACTCTCTAGCTAACCTTAAATCTATTTCCCCTGATGCAGAACACAAATTTAGCCAAGCAATGAGCTAAAAAGCACATTTCTTGAACATACTTATGTTCAGATGACTTAAGCTCTGGAGGGTGGAGCTAATGAGAACTCGAATCCTGTGATCAACCAAGTACTGGTTGCGGATGAAACACAAGTTGTGCCTGAAGAGTCGATTACAATGGTTCACTAGCCGCATCTTGGCTGCAAAAAAAAAAAACAGAACAACGAAACATCATAAAAAACACCAGTTAAGGGTGCATTAGAATCTTGGTGAGTCATGAGGCTTACGATCTGATAACTCGGAGATTTCAAATGAAACGGATATCACGACTCGCATATTACTACAAAATAACAATATAGATTTTACCTTTTATCAACCATTTCTCATATGTTAAATGCTAAGATGCAGAAAGCAATTGGAATGAACAAAAAGTGTGCTATCTACTTATCAATCAACTTCAGGATAAGAGTAAAAGCTATTGGATTCACAATTCTCAAATATATCTATACGTGTTATCAATTAACCAGAATAAGCAAAGGTTTGACACAATAAGACTGGATACAGTATAGGTATAGCGAAAAGTTTAGCATTTCTCAAAGATGAGAACAGTGCAGGACAAGACCATGGTCAGGGATCAAGTTGCAGAACAAACAGAAGAATGAGCATATTACTTTCCAGAAAACAATCAAATATGCAACACACAGGTTCTGGCAGCCTAAGGTAATAGGTTGTCAGAAGGATTTATCGTTTGATTTTTAATAGTGCAGGCAGACTTTCTATTCATATCTCTCTGCCTATCTGTACCCCACTTCCTCTAATCTTTAAATCGTTAGTGTTGTTAGCTTATTAAACTCTCAACTCTTTTTGGTTCCAACCAAAATTTATTTCATGTATTATTTTGTTCAACTTTTCTTGTTACTTGCACATTTTCACTATTTTAAACTTATTAATCTAACTCAAGTTTTTCTTGGCGTTGAAACTTGCCTCTTGCCTGTCCAGCCGCTAATGATGCATCAAGGGCCTGGAAGATATAGATGACTGAATATAACAATAATTTTTGTTATTATGGATTCTGAAAGTGTAGATGATCGATTTTATGTAAGTTTACCTCTTTTACTATTTTGTGTGTTATGAGATGAAGTAGAAGCCACAGGAACATGTTCATCAATTTCAATATTATCTGTGTCAAAAGTAAATCTTCAGTTAGGGGCACGTCAACTAATGAAAAGTTGATTTTACTATATAGGGACAGAAAAGAATGTCACTCATGAAGGAATTAAGTGCCCGTTTGGATTGGTTATTTTAGGTGCTTTTAAGCCAAAATAACTTTTAAGCAGTTTTGAAGTGTTTGGGTAAAGTTAAAAAGTCCTTATAAGCACTTATTTTAAAGCCAAAATAACAAAAATAAGCCAAAAGCCAATCCAAACAGGCCCTTGCTTATTGTCTCATTCTCTATGTTTTTAAAAAAAGATGGAATTAAATGCTTAAGTTATATCTGATATTACTAACACATTGGGGAACTACTCAAATTGTGATCGATTTAACATATGCATGAAACTAAATAAATATTTTAAAATTTCTACAATCAACACTAAGCTATCACAAGCAGATGTTGAACCAACTTGTACCAAATTTTTAACAAAATTGACACTAACCAAAGGAAAAAATATACTAAATTGTAGCTTTGCATCTGCAAAGTGATAGAAAACGCGTGGATGGAGATGTTCAAGTGACAACAACTTCCGTTTGTGCATCATAAACCTTTAAATGAGAATACAAAACAATAAAGTCATAACATTAACCATATAAATTGCTGGGCAGAGATTCAGCTGAAAGACCTCATGGTGGATAAGAAAATCATCAATATCAATTCAATCAAAGTAGAGCTGAACTTACTATTTACCCTGATGCAGAACTTAAGTTCGGCCAAGCAATGAACTTTATGCACATTTCTTGAACATAATTATGTTCAGATGACTAAAGCTCTTGAGGGTCCCCTAATGAGAACTCGAATCCCGAGATCAACTAAGTACTGGTTGCGGGTGAAACACAAGTTGTGCCTAAAGAGTCAATTACGACTACTTCAATGGACTTCATGATGGAAAATTTGAATTATCCAAAGAATGAGGAACCACAAAATACTCATATTGGACCTGAAGTTAAGTTATCAAGAAATGTTGAAACATCAAATGAAACTAAGGAAGCAAGTGCCTCTCCTGGTGACAAACTTGTGTTAGGCTCTCAATTAGCACCACAGCAAGAAGAGGCAGAAACCGACGATTCTGATAATTCAGTAAACCTTCAAACTCAGAACAAAAATTGTGATGGTGGCAACATCAACCTGGAGATGTTTCACCAAGTCCAACCTTGAAACTATTCATGAATAAGAGCAACAATTGCCCCTGATCTTCCATGTAATTTTCAGCCTGCTCTTTTAATCCATACTGGCAAAGAGAAAAAGAATATTAGTTGAACTACAAATAATTAAACATGTTCTAGTCTTCCTATATATGCACATGTGAATTATTTTTTTCTAGAAGAAAGCTTTAATTAGGAGAGTTAGTTTCAACTTTCAACTGAAACATAGCCAAGTTAAGTAATGTACCTCAAGCTTAATTAGAACAATCAACATTCAATAACTACAATTACATCAGCACATAGAGCGCTTAAACTAGTTGCAGTTGCCTCTATGGAAATTATGGATTCCATTTGGACAGGTTCAGATGCAGGACCTTTTAGAGTTTCAGTTAAATAATTTACTTAGTATATCCTGATTTCAGTTTATTTTTTTCCATACATATAATTCAACAAGACTTACTGATAAAACAAAGGTGAACAATTAATGGATGAAATCAGATTTTCATGTCCAATGGTGACAAGTGTTACAATTTCAGTAACACTTGATTTTATCATCCTAGGCAGCAAACATATTTCAAATAGAAAAGTTAAAAAAAGAGTAAAATCATCCTGACAATGCTTCTATTAATTTTTTTTTTAACTTTAAGCATCTAGAATCCTGATTGTGAGGAACTACTGACACTTGTGAATAGACCTCATCAGACATAAACCCGAAACATTACCACGACATAATCGGAGACCTCGACCCGATATCCGACTCTAACTCAAGACCAAAGACCCGACCCTGATCAAAACCTTTATCATGACCTGATGAGAGACTTCGACTTGAGACCTGACACCCTTCCCAGACGAAGACTCGAGACCCCCTATCCAAACCCTGACTCATCACCTTGACACCAGCCACCTAGGGACGCTTGGGCCTAGATGCCGCCCCCCGCGAGGCCCCACCCCTACGATGGCCTGCCACCCGCGAGGACCCGCCGCCCCAGTAGGGACCTG